TATAACTTTGTAAATAATTTTTATATGGAGATATTTTTCTTTAAGTACTACAGACAAAATGCTAAATTTTGTTTTTCAAATGAAGCCCTATTAGTTATTAAATTCACATTTATCCCAAAATATATAACTAACATATAATTTACAGCGCACGGATGCGAGGGGCGACCCCCAACCCTCACATACAATCTAGGCTCGCTTTGAGTACCTTTCCTTAACAATTTAGGTTTGTTATTTCTGGTCTTAGGGTGCATACAAATCTGGCGAATGCGCCTGTTTGCGAAAGGCTCGCAAGTTGCGCACCGTACTACATAGTGCGATTTGTTCGCGTGCCCCTCGCACCCATTATGAGATGTCATTACAGAGGCGCACTTAATTGCACGCGTGCATTCGCCAGATCTATAAACTAAACCACTACTTTCGTATAAGGGAGTTATATGAAAGTAGTGGTTTAGTTTATTCTTGTTTGTTGGAAAGAAGGGTATGAAGGGTACCTTCATAGTGGTCCTGTTTAATTTTGAAGAAAATCATCCACCTCCAAGGGTGGCTGTTCACGCATGAAGATTCATTTTTATAAATAGCGCCTAAATTTTATTCTAAGAAGTAATTATTTTAATGGTTGATTTTGCTATTCTCCAATTCAAGGCGTTTTTCTCTCAATATACTTTGAGTAGTGAGAACCGATTTTTATTATCTCCTGTATCAAGTTCCGTATAGTGGCGAACCAAGGGATGAATCCGGGTTTGCGCACTTTCCGGTAACCGATTTTAATAAAACTTGGCAAATAGATGTAATTCCACGTACATTTCGGGTCGGTTTTTTAGTACTCTGTACTGAGATTATACTATTTTACAATAGTACCTTCATCATAACGTTTTGCAATTCGCTATCGACCATCCGCGCCATCAGCGAGTTGAGCTCGAAGCAGCCATCGGCGTTAGGCTCACCCTGCACCGGCGGCTTGCTATGCGGTTGCTTCAGTTTTGACAGTGCTGCAATTACAAAATCGAAATGTATTTAAATCATTGTTAAAATCAACTTATAGACAAATACATTATACTGTTATATAACTTTCTAAAATTACCTTTCACTGCTTTCTCTTCATTACCAGCTTTGCCATCTTCACTCTTCTTTTGAACAGGTTTCACCGCTTTAGCTTCAACTTTCGCTACTTTAGTTTGGACTTTTACCACTTTAGGTTGAGCGAAAGAGGTGAAAACAACTCTAGAAGCTACTTTCACCAGTTTTGGTTCAGCTTTCATGACTTTTGGTGCAGGTTTCGATACTGTTACTTCTGTATGTTGTTTTAGTTCCGGTCTCATGCGCTTTTGCACGGGCCTGGGAGGAAGTGGTCTTCGGTCTAAATCTCGTATTGGTTTCTTCATGACTGGACGACCAAATTGATGATCTGTGAATTAAAATCTGTTTAAGAATACTACATAGGTACTCATTACTCAACTAGGAAATCACCACACCTATAATATGAATCACACTTAGGTCCAAACAAAGGGGATAACCGACCAAAAATATACCTTACGGTAGTTTCCTATTTTTGACGATAATAAATGTTTAGAACGCTTTTCAAGCTGTAATCTGATAAAACTTAGAACACCTCACACTTTGCAATATATGCTTTTACTTAATATCGTTTAATATAATTATAATAAAAAACTAGGTCGTAGTCACTGGTAACACAATTGGGATCAAAAACATTTTTTGTTTCGCCATTTTCTCGCATCATAGATGTCATTCGTGCTTCGTTTCTCAAACTCGGATGTTTCTTGTGTCCGTAGTGCGTTTATTAAATTATTGTGTTCTTGTAGTCTTTTTTTAGATATTGTTAAAATTATGTAATATATAATTAAAATTGTAGAAAATGAGAACCTCCTCCTTTTCTAATTCCGTTTAAAATAGAAGGTTTAGCACACCTGCATTCGCACTTTGACAATGACACTACTTTGTTTATATTCTGGACATATAATTATGTTTCATACTATAGAAAAAGCTTTACAGTCATAGAATAAGAGCTAAAAAATGTTTCAAGCGATTTTTTGAGCGTTTCGCGTCAGCAGCGATCCGAGGGGAACCTTATTACGTGGATATAAACCTGTTTCTAGTCGGTTTAATGCACGTCCGTGTCGATGGGTATTGAGACTCGGAGTCAATAACGGAGTATATTTGTATATAAAATTATAATAAAGCTTTTTCACTCTTCATTAGTTAGTGACAATAGTGATGTCATTTTCCGGTGCATGGATAAACCAACTCATGTTTTTGTTGTGCCGCCATATTTAGATCAATAAGTACTCTTTTTGTAAAACTTTCAATAAATAAATAAATAAAAATTGCGGACCTGAAAATTATACGAAACCCAATTGAAAATTTGTAAAGAAAACTCTGCTTTCTTCATTTGTCATAAAAATCTCAAGACCCATAGATTGCCTTTAAGGTAAATCTGTAGGGCTAGCATGTACGCGAGAGCGACATAAAGCGCCACATACTGTTATTCTTATGTGTCGCTCTCGTGCAAGTCGCGCCCTGTCTTGCTAGCCCTACTCATAATGTGATCTCGCCTATCAACAACGTAATAACTGAACTATTTACGGCCTTGATTTGACTTGGCTTTTAAATAAAAAGAAAAAATACTGATCAAAAGGAAGAGCCAGAATACATAATAGTACAAATATACAGCTGATTGTTTTTATATGGGTTTGAATTATTATGACTGAAAAACTTACCTATAACGCTGAATCTCGTTATTTACACCAAAAAAATTTAAATTTCATTTGTTATTTAGACTCGGCTGTTGACGATCTTCCCTTTCTTGACTGGATCGAATGTCGATGTAAAGGAACAACGCTTTACGTAGCTTATGTCTTACCTTGTCTAGTAGAGGGGATATCTGGTGTTACTTTTGTTTTGGAAGCGCCGTCCATTCTTACAGCCGCTGTCGGTAATCGCTTCAAAGTTAAAATCGCAAACTTTGTAGAGTTCTTTACTACAGATATATAAGTATTCAATAAGATATGGGAATTTTAATGTTATTGATGGTACAACGTAGTCGCCGTGTCCTGTAATTTAGTAATACAAATGTTCTTACTTGCTTTCAGAGTAATAATGAGTCACGTGGTAGTTCCAATAATCTCGTTTCACGTGAATTCGCTTTAGCAAATCTGTAAATAAAATCTCGGTCCGTACTTACAAAAAAAAATGGATTGTCTTTTTTTCTGACAGAACCAAAGACGGAGTTACTGAAAAAAATGTGGCTATTTCTACTTCATTCTCTTTATAATGTTCTTATCGACTTTACTATTATGTATTCTGAGCCTCGTAAAATTGCATTTGAATAGAAATACCACGTGGAGTAAATAAAAAACAAGACTGCAAAATTGACGATACTGCAGTTGTTCTTGTGGATTCCTTCGCATATTTTGATTATGCGGTGTGCTATTATATTTTAAAGATGTATGACCTCAAAGATGCATGACCTTGAAAAAAAATTGATGAGATATCGGTAGTACCAGATTGAGGACGTCCTCAAAATATCCTCCAAAAATGTGGAGTCAAAGAATCCTGAAAAGACGCGTGTAAAAAAAAACTACTGCGAATGGAGAAGAATACCAGATTCATCATCAAGGAAGATCCAGAATCTCTGAAAGACTGACGTCTGACGGTTTATATTAAGTGCCTTCCCCATTTCGCTTGCTGTCATTCTGCTTATTAATACCTGTTTCAAAAGACCTGATTTGAGAAAAAAAAAATTCAAGCAAACGTTTTTGCTGCACAGCATCAGAAGAACACGGTACCTATAAATATGAATTAAAAATATTTTTTACCTAAAGATGTCGAATTGTCTTCGATGAAGTCCTGCAGGACTTTCTTGTGGATATCCCTGAGGCAGACGGTGAAACTGTGAACACTTCCCAAAAGTCTGGAACCACTTCTGCTTCCTAGTTATATGCACTGCTGCCCTGAAAGATTTTAACTGAAACTCCCAAAAAAAGTTTTAGACAAGAAACATTACTAAAGCAATGCAGAACGATATTACAACACAAAAGAATTATTTTTTTTGTAACAATTATTCAATTAATTTATGTAAATTTTGGAAAACGATACAAAAATTTTAAAGTACTACTCGAGTTAGGTACTTACGTAATTTAATTAATATGGAATTTCATGTTAATGTTGTCTTCCAACCCAACCCCACCTTCTGCGAAACTCTTCTATGACACTAAGTGACGGGACGAACAAATAGTGCATCTGGTGGTAAGCGACACGCCCACCCATAGCAGGTACAATGTCACTCAGAGTTTTAAACCGCAAACATATGACGAGCAGTAGCACTCCCCCCGTCACCCTGAGATATAAAGCTGACAAGTTCCACGTGTGAGTCCCACTCTTCTTACCTTCGCTGATCAAATACTGTTTAGAAGGTATGAGATAATTCGTATAATACTCGCATATTGCAAAAACAAGCCAACCCAAGAATGTATTAGCAGTTACCAATACAGCTTGACGCTTTCAACGGTTTTCTATTGCCTAAAATAATTAACGCATCAAAATGTTTTAGCCATTGTTTAAAAGTTGTTTTGCTTCTTTGGTAATCTCCTCACTTCAATCCTATTGGTTTCCCATACCCATGATATCGTCTAGCCAATGGGTTACTTGTCTTGCAAACGATTCCCCACTATGACGACCATAACTTATAAGATTTTTTTTTAGAAAATCAAAATCCAAATTTGTTAGTAACGATAAATACTGATGATATATGTTGTCCATCTCCCACCTGACAGCGATGTACTACGCACAATACGACAAAAAAATGCAAAAATTGGCATATGCTAACCGGTTACTAAGTGACCGGGCTGTGGAGTGTGAATTAATATGTATAAACCGAAATAGTGTGTACTCTCACACTACGATGATACGTATCATATCATAAAAGAAGGAAAAATCTATAAAAAAACATCTATATAACATACATTAAGTTTATTAAATCCCACAAGAACAGTTTACTCGCTTAAAATAAAGAAACCAAGTGACGTTCAACCGTTACAACTACGAACTCAATTGTAAATGCATTATTAAAATACAGGCAAATAGCTCTAACCTACTAAGGTATTTCATGCGTCGCCAATCAAAAATACTAAACCACAACAATTCATTTCGGGTCATCATTTGTACGCAAATAACAAGAACTATAGGAGATACTGCCTTATTTTTGAAAAATTGCTAGAAGTTTCTGACATTTACGTAACAAAGTTAAAGAAAGTACAACATTAAAAATAGAAATGATGGCGCCATAATGGCTGCAGCTTCATTCATTTAGACATATCAGTGTCATTATCTCCCGTCAACATCAATTGATTTAAACAATATTGGAAACAAATGTAACGTTTTTGTTTAATTATTTTTAATACTGAAACATAAGTGACCCAATAACCCTTCTATCGAACTTCGCCCATAAATACAATATCTTCATCGTCATCCGATGATGCAATCTCCATATTAGCTACATCGTAAGTATCATTCAATTCCTCTTTAAACTTCTCTATCTTTTCTTCCAATTCACTAGGAGGATACTCAGAAGTTACATGAGCAACGTAGTTGCCCACTTGATTGTGTCTTTCATCTACATAATCAAGTTTGTATTTCAACCTTATTATAGTCTCGATAGATTCAATATCCATCTTAACTTCGAGGACACATTTTGATCTGTTATCGCGAACCGGTGAAACCTTAATAGGCTTCCACAAGTTGAAATTCAAACCTCTAACACCTTGATTGCTTTGTTTTAAGCGTTCCAATATTAGAGATAGAGCAGTGCTGAGGGAACCGTCGTTTTTAACACTAACAAACATTGTTATGAACTTAGATTTGTTCTCATCAGACGAAAGTACGACGATTTGATGTTTGTTAATCTTACCAATATTTACCGAAGTCAACCATCGCTTAGATTCATTGTTTTCTGGAACAACGCCAAAGTACCCAGGACGACAAAAGCCATACTTAGTAAAATCAGTTCTACTGTTACCGTGCTCTTGGTGGTACTTAAATATATGGTAGATGAGCATGTCTTTAACTTTTCGCGCTTGATCTACAGACAATGCCTTGTTACCTTTCAGTCCTATTTTAACCATGTATTTTTCGTGCATAAGAGAAGGCATTGGAGCGTTTTGTGCGGCTTGTATTATTTCTGACTGATCGCGAACGGAAACAACTCTCATTCCAGCATCAAAGACATCTTTATCGACAGCTACAGCTTTTAGGAAGACATTTACCTTTTGCAGTTCGTAGCTTAACTGCATATTGTGTTTTTCAAGTGACCTAGCCGACGAGGGTGGCATGTCCACGTACACTCTTATACCTTTCGGAGTGATAATCTTCTTCACGAACTTCCACTTATCTATGTTGACCCCATCTAATTTCTTGTTCTGTAATTTCAATTTCGCTAACGGCTCTATGTTGCGGCACTTGGAATGACCTGGTAACCAAATAGCAGCTCGTTCGTACCATAACTCCTCCTTCGTGTACACCAAAACGTTGAATAATTTGAATTCGTTAAAGTCCAAATTCACAATCCAGTTTCTCGTGTTCTCATCTATAGTTGCCAGCTCGTATCTGTACATGCTTTGGAGGCCTTTGATAGTGAAGTCTGGCGACCAACCCGTTGCGGAAGCTTTAACAATTTGTGACACTAAGAATTTCTTTAGATATTCAGCCTGAATGTCTGTGTAAGGTTCGAAATCGTCTTTACACAGGTAAAGGTTGAAACCTTCATTAGGGATAGTATTATCATATCCTGACATGTCCGGAACGGGTTGCTGTTCAGCGACTTCTTCAAAGGTCGACATGTAAGCAGGCGCAGGGACCATCATAGGGGGTATTGTCTGCATCATTACGGGCACTTGTGGCATCACTGTCTGAACCATATCAAATTGGGGCATCATTAACTGCAAATTTTGCTGTAAATTTTGCTGCAGGCTCATCCAATCAGAAACCACTGAAATTAATCAAAACAACATTGGAGCACCCAAACTTGGGTCATGCAAAATAAAAAGCGAATATCCATTCCGAGAGTGTTCAAATTTTAGACATGTACTTACTTTGAGGTTCAGTGATAACTACATCTGTAAAGAAGAAACGTTGTGTGAATCGAAAAGACGGTGACGCTGACACTTTCGGAGGCATGCATATTAACATATAAACAGGTACGAAAAAAAAGGCTTTGCTAACCTCGATTCACGTCGGGAGTACGCCTAGCGTTTTTCGAAGCAATATCTGCGCGGCCTGGTTCTGCAAATACAAACAATTTGTTTTAAAACGCTCATTACTAGAGTCTGACAATTATATTGTATACCTTGTAACAATATTAAAACTTACATCGACTAGTTGTCAGTTTCGTGTTTTCTGGGGTTAATAGTTAACATATTTTTTTTGTAACATGTCAGTTTTCAATACTATTACACGTAGTGGACTTCATATACCACGTTTCATAAATTCACATCAATACCAACTCTCACGTTCTTTGAATTGGTTTTCAAACTCATAGCCATTAAATACCGAGTGCATATTTCCACAAGCAACGTTACAAAATCATGCAATTGACATTCAGGAGTTCTTTCAGCCTTTGAATATAAGCATTTAAGTTACGTTTAAACGCAGTTAGTGGCAATTCTTTGTTTTTAGATTTACTTGTCCAGTGTTTAGGTACTGCATCGGGTATCGTTTCAGTAACCAGTAAAGCAAGTTTGGGTTTTGTCAGAAATTTACTTTTGATTTCCTAGTTATTAATAACAACTGTTGCTGACGGGACGCTGTTTCGATGGCAAACAGAACTGAATTAAAGATTTATGTCAATAGCGATATGTACTGAAAACATCCGAGAAGAGAACAAAACGTAGAACGATGTCCTAAAAGAGGTTAAGAAAAAACGCAAGTTGATATTGAAATACGTTGTGAGTGTTGTGTGATGTGACGTACGCGTACCCAAAATATCATATCAAAATCTTACCTTCGGCAAGCCGTTTCATCGTTCTATAATGACTGGGAAAGCTGGACATCACATCATCGAATATCTTGGCTTGGCTCTTCGTGTCGAATTTCGCGTTGAACTTCACCACCATTTCAATAAACGATACATCAGTAATTCCAAACATATCTTTCAGAATTTTGCCAAGGGATAGCCTTAATTCCTCCATTACACGTCTCCTTATGTCTGTGTTCCAATCACACCCGAATTTATGCATCATCTTCTCAGCGATTTCCTCAATCGCTTTGTCTTTCTTTGCCTTCATGGCCATCATTGCTGCATTTCTCTTTTCTTCCTCTACTTTCCAGTCTATCTCACGTTTCCCGAAAGGTTCGATAGGTCGCCGTAGCTGACGGTCATCAAAGCGGGATTCGTGGCGAATGTCGCCACGGCGATCGTCTTCCCTATGTCTTCTGTCATCTCTAGATTCATGACGTTCGACTTCGCGGCGCTCGCGGATATGTTGTTCCTCCTTACGTCGCATTTCCTCAGTCTTCTCTCGGAATTCCTGAGCTCTTTTGTAGATGTCATCAAATTCTTTTTGGAAAGTCTCCTGGGCTTTAGTCAACGGTCTTGCTTCATCACGTCTTGGATACTCCTCACGACGCAGAATTTCCTCTCTTCTGGGCTCTAAATTACGAGGGCGATTATCTTTAGGGCGATAGTCGTCACTTGGTCTTTGGGGCTCATCTCTAAAGTCCGATCTGTCGTACCGCTTCTCTACATTTTGCCTACGGAAATCATCACCTCTGGAGAACTCTTCACGAGGTTCAAATTTTGGTTCACGTCGAGGTTCAAACTTTGGTTCCCTTTGTTCAAATTTAGGATCTCTCGGTGGGAACCTGTCTTCGGGCTTTATATCGCGGCCACGTGGAGACGGTTCACTATGACCCGCTGGAAGCATAGTTCTTTCTCCCAGATCGGTGCGAACTCTGATGTCATCGAATCTTCGCTCTTGAATTTCTGGTCTTCTATCTCGCCTGTCATTCTTGTCATCAAATCGCGGCTCCCATACTGGCGTCTGCTTAATTTTATCAGTAGGGAAGTTTGGGCGGCTTTGTCTGTATGGATTGTCGTCACGTGGAGCCTGCTGCCCAGGCCAGATTGGAGGAGGTGGTGCTTCGCGATCATCAGGACTACGACGTTTTTCAAGAGCCCACGAGCGACGCGGAGATCTCGACGAAGGCGATCCAGAATGTTTTCGGTAACGATCGTGCGGAGATCGGTCGCGCCGTACGGGTGAGCGAGATTTTCTTGGAGAGCCTGATCTTTTCGGGCCTAGATTAGACTCATTGCGTGGTTCAAACTTCGGCATTCTTGATGGCTCTCTCCTGTCTTCGTCCTTCTTCATCGCACCCAGCATACCTTTGTCCCTTTCTTGCTGCCATGGAGAATTATGCGTGTTCTGTTGGCGGAGACCAAGGATGGGGTATTGGACGTTTTCATGGATGCTGGGTCGATAGCTTCCTGAGTACATAGCTTGGTTTGACGCCTGTAAATTGAAATGTTAATGGCAAATACTGACAAAGTAAGAAAGACACAAAGTAAGGAAATTTTTTGAAAAAAAATGTATAATCTCATGAACCCTAAAAAGTGCGCACGTAAACTAAATGTTATATCTCTTGCCCAACATTGAATACGCTGAAAATCGGTGCATTAAGAAACGCTAAATCACTGTTGGCTGTTTTTACACAACTGCTGTTTTTACTGCTAAGTCAGGAATGTTAATTGTTATATAAGATATAGCGGACATTCATGTATCTTCGTCGCTGTTAAACTACCTGAAATTTATGAAACAAGACGTCACATTACGCGTCTTGGTCGCAACGATGTCACCTGTTTCGTAGTCGATTGGGAATTTTATTAGTACCCTTGTTTATAAAACCATGTTTCATTTCTTTTTACATTATTATTCAACGTTAATTAGGAATATAGTCTTTCAAGACTTGGTAAATTTACGAAGTCTAACGTAGTTGCAGTTAGGATAATAGCATTTTTATTTCAATCCATATTTGTTGTAGTGAATAACGTTGTAATAAATTTTACACTTTATTTTACAAATGTATACCGTTCCTTTTGGACTGGTAATAACAATGAAGATTTCTCCGGAAAATTAATATCCACCTTAACAGGCCTGTTTGATTTTCAACCACCGAAATCTTTTCAACATTTGTTATTCGAATATCACTTGCATTTTCTTAATATTGTTGGCGAAGTTTTTGTAGCGCCATTAACCTATGTAAATAAACTTTTAAATCACAACTTATCTGCATAACTTTTGTACTGCAGACCCCTGATGTGTAAATATCCATTCCGATCCTTGTCGTTCCCTTAACAACACAGGACGAAGTAAACCTCGATATAGATGAGACTGTGAACTTTAACTTTCAGTCGAGGTCACTTACTGGGATTGTAGCACCTGATTGTTTTCAACAGCGTTAATTGCTTGACGAAGTAGTGGATACATATTGGGAAGAAACTAATCAGTATATGTTGCCTCGCGTTTGATATTCTTTAATCTTTATTTCTTTCATCTCAACGCAATGCTTCTAGTAACAAAGGTTATGACGATTGTATTATTTATATCATCTTTATCCAGGGGTTTCTTCTTTTTTGTATATAGGCATGATCCATGTCTTTCGATTTCCGTCGATTTTGTGCTCTCGGCAACTGGTAGATCGACTGCAACAATTACTAATATGTCCTATGATTTCATTTGTCTTTCTCTTGCGATTCGGCCATCATAGTAACATTATTTGTATATCTTATTCGTATTTAATTTTGATTGTACTTCTCTCATCTCGTTACTTCTTACCAATTCTTGCGTTGAGATCATGCAGATAATGTTTCCTGAGCGCTGTTTGCGTGCTTCTTTTTGTAATGATTCCTTCAGTTTTCTCAAAAGGGTTATATATCGCGAACAAGTTCTCCTCCTCTGTTTAAAGGATAGCACTTCCTGAAGAAGAATCTGAAATTCCTTATAGGCTTATTACGGCCAAGATTATTCACACGTCACAGAATAATATCCAAAACTTGCTGGTTAGTTGGTCCTCATCTGAAATCTCTTTCTAGAGGATCGGTGATCTGCTCTTCAACTTAGCATTACAGTGTCTGTAGCACAGTAACTACCTATTGAATGAGAAGCCGCGAACACATAGGAGACACGCTGCGTATTATAACCGACTAAAATCACCATCTCGGCTATAAATGCCTCAATATAACACCTAAGAGTACATGGCATTATTCTGTGATTCATTATCATCATTTCCAGCACTGTATTACCCACTGCTGGGTACAGGGCCTCTTTTCGCTTCTGTCAAACTTTCCGATCCTATGCGTCTATGGTCCAGGTTTTGCCCGTGACTTTTACTATTTCGTCGACTCAGCGTGCAATTGGATAATCCGGATTTCTTCAGCCTGTTCTTGGCCACCACTCCGTCAAAGCCTTACTCCAGCGGCCATCGTCATCCTATTATTATGGCAAAAATAAAGGAAATAGGCTAGCACCAATTCCAAATGTGTCGGTACTCGACACCAGCAATTTACACACGCAGTATTCTGGTGCACGCAGTTGTGTGGTATGAACTTCCGCACATCCTGATAGCATTGAACTTGTCTCGCACTAAAAGGTTACTTTTTTTGATAGATATATTTCATTGCCAATATGTGTAAGGCGTACTTATGCTATAATATCTGTGATATGGCTAAGTTGTCCTTTAAGTTCCTTACAATTATTTCCCATATATGTATATGTGGACAATCACTTGAAGCTCATTGGTATTCCATGTTGAAGAATAACTATTTTAATAATTGTGATGAAAAATATGGTATTCAGCTTAGTTCGCAAAATTGTGCTAATGTTTGGCGTACAGTCAACATATCCAATAACAAGACGTAGGTTCCTGTAATTGCTTTGTACTTATTGTACTTTCTCTAGAATTCTAAAAAAAATATTTTCTAAAAATAGTATCTTCCTTGAACGTCCGATTTTGACGATTCATCCGAATCTTATTATAAGACATTTTTAAACGTTAGTATAAAAATAATACGTTAATTCGTTGTTGCCTGCTATAAAATAATATAAGGGCTTACTGTGTAAATGCAAAAAGAAATATTGTAAAATATTAAAAGTGATCGACTAAGATATAAACCTTTGAGAAGGGCAAATGCAGCAGCTTGTACTTGTATTAAGGTCTACACGATTTAGTTTCTCCGCGACTAAACTTGCGCAAGCTAAGTACGCGTTTGTATACAATACATGTGATTGCGTGTGTGACATTGTGTTCCAAAGTTTAGCCGCGGTGAAATTAGGCTGTGTATCCGGGGACTGAAATGTTAAATTTCGATAGTCGTTATGTCGCCAAAGTTTTTTTTTGAACTAAATTGTTCTAGTCTTCATTTGACAATAATGATTTAGAGATAACTGAGTGACGTTTGACACTGACAAGACTCTTTTCTATTACTGGAATGAAATTCAGATGTAAAAAGATTACCAATATATTCAAACGCAACAATAATAGCAAAAATGTAGATTTTTATTTTGTAGTAGTACAAACTGCGAAATTGTACTGGTCACTGCATTTGCGCATAGCCGGTGAATTCTACGTACAATCTTTCTGCACATACAGAGCAAACCCTGTACCAATGTATCGCTTACCTGCGATGGTTCGTAGGCAGGCCTCACGTCTTTACCGCCGGGGCGCTCCGGGTATTTCTCTATTGGTTTATCTTGACGACGCGAAGGCGAGTACCTTGGTAAAGGGTAATTATTAGAAAGGGTCGTTATTGATATTGTTCTGTAATTATGACAAAATCCGTCAAGATTGCGATTATAAAGTTCTTTGCTTTATCCGTCAATATACGGTCGTGTCAAAGTATAAGACAAGTAATGTAACTCGACACAAACGTAGCAGCAGCTTGTATGTGTGCACGCATGCCGTACGCTGTGTACGGACACTCACATTCGCGGAATCTCGCGGTGCAGTCGCGTTGCACAGCGAGGGTCGCACACGCCGATCATTATAGAGTTGAAGTATTTAAAGTAGTAGTAGCTTTAGTAGCAGTAGAGTACTGCCACATTACTTCTACCTCCAAGCAGTAATGTGAGCATTACTGCGTTCCGGTTTTGCAGGGTAAGGGAGCTGGTGAAATTACAGGCATATGGGATTTCTCAACTTATGTCTCAGAATGACGGGCGCAGTGGCAGTGCCCCTTAGATCTTTGTGATTTAAAGCTCCGAGTCTCACTCAAACTGTTATGGACAGGCTCGTCGCTTACCACACAAACAATAAATACAGTAGAAGTGATTAGTTTGCGTGTCACGTGTGCCAACAGTTCGCAGACTTTCGCAAATTTGAGCTCAATCCGCCATTGTCGCATAAGATAATTGACACGACCATAACGTACAAAGTCATGGTCGTGTCACTTATCTTATGCAAAATGTCAATCGCGAAGAAAAATGCTTTATTTCGCTACTTTGGAGTGCAAATATTATAATCACACTTCTAATATTATCTACGTCCGTGTTTCGTATCATTGTCATCGTTAATTCTTATTCTATTTAATTTTAATACACTTTCAATTTTCTGTTTATCTTTTTGTTAAATGAAACGAAAGTAAACCCTACATCGCTGCAATATTGTCGCTTCTTTTTTGGAGAACAAGTAACATCTCGAATTCATCGTCGTTCAGCTAGTAACCGTTAGATGGCAGCACATTGATTGCAATTTTAATATAAAATCAAAACGTCGTAACTTCCAATAATAGGTATTGATGGTATTGAATTTTCAACGATATGCCAACAGGGAAGCTTAAATTATATTAACAGAACGGAATTTGTTACTTCTTTTTAAATTTGAAACTACGACCAGTCATTATGAAGATTTCATTATGTTTTAAATTATGAATGTGTGAGTTGCGTCAACGGTTCTGATAGTAATTGAGGCTTAAAGCACCATTGCTTATTTCTTCCGTGGCTAACTACCAAGCGCACGACTATCGTAAAAATTACATCAAATAGTAAACGTTTTTAATATTAGATTAATAGTTGTCATCAATCATAATCAATATTGGAAGTACCGCATTTTGACAAAGGTTATTTCAGTATAGCACGAGAATACTGTGATGAATGCCTTAATTTTTTCATATCATGTTTACAACAAAAATACTAATGTGACAACCCTGCGCTCCGAGTCACCGAGTAGGCATTGACACCGAACAGTCGGCAAGTTGGACTACCTGTCTTATTCTATGGTCGGGTAGTCTGTTAGTTCGGATGCTTACCTGATGCCTCTACCGGGCGAATCACGTCTGCCGGGGGACCTTCTCCTTGGCGAGCGCTTACCCGGCGGGGAGGCTACGCGGCGGGGGGGCGATTCGCGACGAGGCAAACGTCTGTCGCCTGTAACAACATATGTTATTGTAAAAATTGGTAAAGTGGCAAATAGTGTTTTTAATGAAATATCAATAATTATTAATATAAAGATCGAGCCTAAGAAAAATTCATTCGATCCGGCTGGATTCAAGCCAGCGTCATTAGCATACCGTGCCAGCTGACCTAAGAGCCTATGTACACGGCGTATTTCAATTTCGCGTCGTAAACGTGCGTCATCTGCGCGTATACGCGCTATAAACGCGCGTATGTATCGCGCATTTTGATAAGAGATAGTTTTAATTTTGTTTGTTAATTTCAGTTAATTTCTGAAATTAAGCAACTACACGAAATTCTATATAAGCTTCATGCTTGCAACGCGATATTTGCACGCGTTTTAATCGATTCACTACAGCAGCTTGTCTGCGGCGCGTATACGCGCAGATTACACGCGTTCAAGACGAGTATAACATACGCCGCCGTTACTTATTACTTTGTGTTATGTGCTTGTTGCAGAACTTTGTTTTTTGTTTTTTTTTACCGTAACAAGTTCAGTTATTTAAATTTTTATTGAATTATTATTCAATTATTAATACAAAGATCGAATACTCAGAAAAAATTCCTTCGATCCGACCGGATTCAAACCGACGTCTTCTAGCATACCGTGCCAGACGCTATACCAACTAAGCCACGGAATGAACCAGCAGATCTCACGAATTTTTCTATGGGCTTGTCGTGTTTTTGTATTTGGTGTAAAACAGACAGGCTTGTGACAAACCACGAGATTCGGCCATCTTTAGACACAGGCATGAGTTAATTACAATCAATATTACACAAGCATTTGGGTGTGAAAAAGCTCTCTTCTATGTGGATCACACACAATTTGACTGAGGCTCAAAAACGGATCGCCTCACTTGGTGTGTGACGTAGTAACAGGTGACGAAACATGTATTTATAGTTACGATCTCAAAACAAAGCAGCAATCGAGCGTATGGGTCTTTCGAGATGAGCCGAAACCAACTAAAGTGGCGCGCGTGCAAAGTACCTCTAAGCGGATGATTGCTTCTTTTTTTAATAAAACTTGACACGTGGCTAGCTTTGGAGAATAGTTGTACCGTGAATAGTGATTGGTACACAACCATTTGTTTGCCGGAAGTTATTGACAAACTCCGTAAAAATACCCGTAAACACCGTATCATCTTGCACCACGATAATGCCAGTTCTCACACGGCCAGACAGACAAATGAATTTTTGAAGGTGAACAACGTTGACCTTATGAGCCATCCCGCGTACAGTCCCGACCCGGCACCTTGTAACTTTTATTTATTTCCAAAAATTCCAAAATAGAACCAATTACGTGGTCAACGATTTTCATCACCAGAAGAGACTGTCGAAGAGTATGAAAAATATGTTTCAGAGATTGTCACGGAGGAGTGGCATACACGTTTTCAAAATTGGTTCATTCGAATGAAAAAGTGCATAAACGCTAACGGAGAATATTTTAAGAAACAATAAATTCATTTCTGACCATTTATAGTATTTTCTTCTTATTCATTCCGGAAACTTATAGTGCGCCCCACGTATACATTATATCCTTCAGTCGCTCAGCGGCTAGGCTGTGGGCGACGAAAACTCCCGGGTTCGATTCTGGATCTTTTCCAAGCCCATTTAAATATTCTGGGCAGTAGACCCAGGTATACCGTTGTAGGTATTTTGTAGGCAGTAGAGGTCCTTGTGAACGAGTTCGTTCAGGGACGTACTGCCACTGTACCTATTTCTGCCATCAAGCAGTAATGTGAGCATTACTGCGTTCTGGTTACTCAGGGTAAGGGTGCTGGTGAAATTACAGGCACATGAGGCTTGTCAACTTATGTACCAAGATGATAGGCGCAGTAGCAGTGTTCCTCAGATCTTTGGGCTCTGAGTGGCACTGCAACTGCTATGGATAGGCGTGTCGCTTAACAGGCGTCCGCCTTGTCCGTCCCGTTACTTGTATCATAAAAAACTCCGTTACTCTGGCACTCGTGATTATCTGGCACATTTCATAATATTACCTGGTGAACCTCTCCGTCCAGGCGAAGGTTTTCTTCCAGGGGAAACCCGTCTTCCAGGAGAAACCCGTCTTCCAGGTGAAACGCGTCTTCCAGGTGAAACGCGTCTTCCTGGTGAATCACGTCGTGGCGAAAATCTCGGGCCTTTGTCATAGTCTTTGTAAACTTCGTGACTTCTAGGTGTTTCAGGGATGTTCTTGGAAATAGTTCGCTTGTCAGGTTCTGCATACTTTCTGTCGTATGTTGGACTCGGTTTTGCCTGCGTTTGGTGGAATTAAATTTATTTTTTTGGATTAGAACGTCCAGAAGAAAAAGATTTGATTTTACGGAAGCTGGCGAATATGCAAGTTTAGAGACACTCTTTTTAGAGGTAAAGTATCCTATATTTATTTATTTATTACATTAACCTTATACAGGATTATTCGTAAAACACTAACAACCTCGCAGGACTATAAGAGTATTACTAACATCATAAACAACAATTTTATTCCATGACTTTTTACAAAACAATAAATTTACCAAAAATAAAGTTTCAAATTTTTGTTGTGCTATCTGATACTTTTAGATCTGTATTTGCAAGCGTTCTCCGTGGCGGCCCACAACCCCGTTCCTGTGTTATGTATCGGGTTTATATTTATACCAGCTCCTTCTTTTGTTACCGCACAAAGTTATATTTTTGTTTTTGTACTAAAGTAAAATCTGATGAATTATAAATTAAAGTTTATAATATTGAATTTTCATTTTATAATTTTGATTTATTTTTCATAATTGTTTAATTTAATAAATTTTTGACGGTAAATCGTAACATTAGTTTTTTAGGTACTTTTACTAACAAATATTATGGATTGAGAATATTTGAAATAAATGAATTATTATTATTATTAAGTCATGAAACAAATGTTAGTAATGAGGTCCTACGAGATTGTTAAGTATTCTACAAACAACCCTGTATAAATTGTTAAAGTAACCTTTTAATTTATAAGTAAAGATCGGTTTATCCAGTGTATATTTAGTTAAACATCTAGGAAATAAGATACATAGAGGTGATAATAAATACCTCTCTAATGTCTTATCCAACCCATCGTCAATATGACTCTAAAATTGTTAAGTGCCCTTGCTTTTAATACAGTACTTACAGGTTGCGACCATGGCGTGGGCTGGCCGTGGGCTGGACCCGGATGTCCCGGTGCACTCTGAGCTGGGTACGAGGTCTGACTAGATAACGACTGACGATCCAGGTTGTATTGAGGACCTTGGAAGTTATCTTTCATTATTGTTATCTGGAAACAATTAGAAACTTTGAATTAAGGGGGTACTTTAATATTGGTATTCACACAAAACCACACTTGTATTCGAATTTGTAGTTTACTATTATTTACGTGTTATGAGCATCGTAGTACATTTGTATTTAAAAATTTAAAATAACAATTAATAAAATCTTTGTAATTAATGTTTGTTGCGGACACCGAGCTACATAATCCGCGCCGACCGCCTACTCGCCAACCACTGTACTAGATGAGAGAAT